GCATGGGCAGGGCCAGCAGGGGATGTGGACAGCGAGAAGGGGAAGGAGTGGAAGAGGAAGGGAATGCCTCCAGGGGCTTCACTTGCCTTGGAGGAAAATGGGAAAGAGGGGGATGCAGGCAGGCCATCAGGATGGACCGAGGGACTCAGGGAGGGTCCCTCCAGCCCCTTCTAGCTTCCTCCAGGCCATTTTCCCTGAACCAGCAATGGAAAAGCTGGGTGCTGCAGGGGGGAGGGAGAGGAGAGAGCTTCTTTCCCCTCTCAGCCATTGAGCTGAATGGCAGGCTGAGGTCTCAAGACAGATTTCAAGCCCCAGGAGATGTCAGCCCTCCTCCTGTAACCCTCAGGGCTCCCCGCATGGCCCTGGTCCTGCTGAGCTTCTCTTCCACCACACCCAGGAGTCCAGCTTGTCCCTTCTCTGCTCCCTACCCTGGACATCCCAGGGAAGACCAATACCCACTGTGGCCCTTACCCTTTAGGACCCCAGAGACAGAGCCTGGGCCTAGATAACCTGGGCCCTGGACTCCCTTGTTGGGATAAGCTTTGCAGCCTTATAGTTCAGGAAATAAGCTTCTTCCTATGCAGCACAGTCAGCCCCTGATCCTGGGCCTGGAGCCTGATCTCTGCCAGTCTGATCTTCCAGGCTGACCCAGAATATCAAAGCTGGAAGGGGCCTTCGGGGTCATCTAGTCCAGCCTTCAGAAAATTGGGGCCCAGAGAGGGCTATGGACTTACCTAAAGACACACAGCAGAGCCAGGACTAGCAAGAGAAAGGTCTCCTGATTCCCAGCTTAGTGTTCCTTCCAATGCATCATCCCTCTGTCTTCCTATTTGATTTTATTTATTTATTAATTTAAGGCAAATGGGGTTAAGTGACTTGTCCAGGGTCACACAGCTACTAAGGGTCAAGTGCTTGGTCTGAGGCTGAATTTGAACTCAGGTCCTCCTGACTTCAGGGCCGGTGCTCTATCCACTGCCCCACCTAGCTGCCCCTTGTCTTCCTCTTTTAAAAGGTCACAGCGAGCTCCAGACAGTGGAGATAAAGATAAGGACCACGCCTGAGCCCTTCTGTGGGACAGGGCTTTCTGAAGGAGGTTCAGCATGGTCTCATACTTTTTCTTCCCTCCCAATTAGAACTCTTTTGTCCTATATTGTACTAACCCTTTGCTTGGGGCCTGCTGATGGCCAGCAGCTGATAAATTCACCCTGGGCTAATAAGACCTTGGGGAATCATGGTTTTTTGGTTTGGGTTTTTTTGAGGATTTTGGTTGGTTTTTTTGAGCTCCTCTAGTCCAAGCAACATATTTGATTTCACCAGTAATGGAGAATGATGGGAAATCCTGGTGCAGGAAAGAGAGTCCTGCATTGGAGGCCAGCAGACCTGAGATTCTGAATTCTGGTCCTAGTAATACCACTGACTGTGTGACCTTGGCTAAGTCATTGTCTTTCTCTGAGCCTCACTATTCTGGGAAAACAAGGAGGAATTTTTTCTATTTAATTGAAACAAGGAATTAGACTAAAGTGTCTCTCTCTAGTATGAATGTTAGGCTCTAGGCTAGGGTGGTGGGAGTGGTCTGGGCATTCCCCATCCCAAGCCTTCGAAGGTTCTAGGTTCTGGTTTTCCACGGGTAATGTGGACAGAGGCATTCTCTCCTTGACTCCCATGGCCCTGTTCATACTCTGGTCTATACCTTCCTGTTCAGCTACTGAGCTAACACCTCTAAGTCCTGAAAACCCATTCCTGTTCAGTCCCAGGCCATGCCTCTGAGAAGGGCTATCTAAACCTGTCAGATTCCTCTCATGACGCAGAGCCTGGCCCTCAGGGGGAAGGGTGGCTGGTTTGGGGATGAATGTTTCTCACCAGTCTTACTTCTTTGGCCAGAGCTAGGTGTGGGCCTCTGGATTTTAATTCCCTAGACTCTAGTGGGACTGAGCTCAAGAATGGGAGAGAGAGAGGGAGGGCAGATGAAGCATGTCAGTGTGGTGCAATGGATTTGGAAATCAGAGGGCCTGGGTTCGAATCCCATGGCTTTTGTTAATTAACTGTGAGACCTTGGACAAATTGCTGAGCCTATTTCCTCTAAGTTGTAAAACGCAAGGGGGTTGCATTAGATGACCTCTCAGGGGGCTTACAGCTTTAAATCCATGTTCTTATCATCTGGCTGGATCAGAAGAGGCCTTTCCTCCAAAGACCACTTCACATGAAGGATCCCCCACTACCATCCAACAAAACAGGTAGTCCTACTGAGCTGCATCACAGGGACTTACGAGGCCCCGGCGTCGGGGTCTTCACCCCATCTCTCCATTCCTCCTAAGTGCCCAGTTCTGGGGATGTCCAGGTAGGAAGTACAGGTGCAGACTTGGCTGGGGTTAGGAATTCTTGGAGGGAAATGGGGTGGTGGTGAAAATAATATATGGTAACATGTGAGGCTTCTTGAGGTCTCAGGGTAAGGACTGGAAGGCTAGAGGAGCCTGGCTTAGCCCTCCCACCCCACTCCAAATGGTAGAATGAGGAAGGAACTGGGCAGCTGAGATTTGACCTCTGCAACACGGGGGAGATGGAGAGGGCTGGGGAGACTCAGTCCCCTGAGAAGGAACCAAGCAGAAGGCAAAGTGAGAAATGAGAAGAAGGGAGACAGGAGGAGGATCCTGTACAAATTGGCCAGCGTCTCTCCCTCCCCGTGCCTGGCTCTTCATTACTGTATCTGAATGCAGATTAGTGCCTGGCTGTGTCTGGAATTCTAAGAGGGGAATGATGGACCTGTGCCAGTCTCCTGAGGGCCCCCAAAGGTTAATGGAAACACTGGGTGAATTAGCATGGAGGAAGGCACTACTCAGCATCACTCAGTGCAATCACGCCCCAGGAAGAAGGTGGGGGCAGACTCAGAGATCAGAGATGTGGGGGCCCAGGATCTGTACTTTCTTTAGTAGGTAAAAGGAGGCATGATTGGTTTTAGAACGGGAAAGACAGGAGATAAGCTCATCGTGTACCAACAAGGAAAACCAATCTGTCTTGGACTCCCTGGCCCTTCCAGATTCAGGGCTGTCCTTCCTCTGAAGGATGAAAAGAGGGACTCTGGCAATGACACCAAGTGCTCCCCACTCCCATCCCATCCAAACCCCAGGCATTGAGGTCAGTCTTTCTGGGCCTGGATTCTAGGTGCTGCTGCCTCTCTACCAGGTGCCTCTTCCTTCTCTGCTCTGACCCTCTTCCTTCCCACCCCTGGCATGCAATTGTACATCCTGCTTTTACCCAGGGAACTGAGGAGGCCACAAAGCCCAGCTCTGTCCGTATGGCCTTAGGCTGGCCTGGTCCAGCCCCTTCCTGAACTGAGTGCATTGTCACTTTGTCTTTGTGAGACAGAGCAGAAGAGATCAGGTAATCAGGCCATTTAGTCCATCTGGATAGTAATGAAGAGCTGAGCTAGGGTGATGCCAATGGGAATAGAGAACAAAGGTTGGACAAGAGAGGTGCTTTACTCCCCAACTGATAAATGGTCAAAGGATATGAACAGGCAGTTTTCAGATGAAACAATTAAAGCTATCTATAGTCATATGAAAAATGTTCTAAGTTACTACTGATTAGAGAAATGCAAACCAAAACAACATTGAGGTACCACATCACATCTATCACATCTATCAGGTTGGCCTACATGACAAAACAGGAAAATGATTAATGTTGGAGAAGATGTGGGAAAATTGGAACACTAATGCATTGCTGGTGGAGTTGTGAAATGATTCAACCATTTCGGAGAGCAATTTGGAACTATAGCCCAAAGGGCAATCAAATTGTCCATACCCTTTCTCTCAGCAATAGGGCTTCTAGGGCTGTATTCCAAAGAGATCAAAGAAAAAGGAAAATGGCCTATATTTATAGAATTATTTATAGCAGCTCTTTAAGTGGTAGCAAAGAACTGAAAATTGAGGGGATGCCCATCAATAAGGGAATGGCTGAACAAGTTGCGGTAAATGAATGCAATAGAATAGTATTGTGCTATAAGAAATGATGAGCAGGCAGACCTCAGAAAAACCTGGAAAAGTTTGTATGGACTGCTGCTGAGTGAAGTGAGCAGAACCAGAAGAACATTGTACGTAGTAACAGCCACGATGTTGTGCGATGACTAACTTTCACAGACTTGGCTCTTCTTGGCAATGCAAGGATCTAAGACAACTCCAAAAGTCTCATGACGGAAAATGCTATCCACATCTGGAGAAAGAACTGGATGCAGATCAAAGCATACTATTTGCTTTTTTCCTTCTGTTTTGTTGTTTCTTCTTTCTTGTGGTTCCTCCTATTGGTTCTACTTCTTCTTTACAACATGACTAATGTGAAAATTAGAGAGAGAGAGAGAGAGAGAGAGAGAGAGAGAGAGAGAGAGAGAGAGAGAGAGAGAGAGGTGCTTTAAAGGCTGAATGGTGTGGAGAGCAGGGAGGACTCAGGTCCCCAGGTCCTTGGGCCTACAGTCATGGGACTGCATTTCCTCTTTTCTGTTACACAGGCTGGAAGGCTGGTAAAAAGCAGACATCACAGATCCTCTGCCCCTGAGCCTCTCAGATGCAGCCACGCTCTAGGCCTGGAGGATTACTCGTCACCTCACCAAGCCCTGACCCTCACTCTTCTTCCTTTCCAAACTCTATTCATTATTGTCTAACCCCACAACCCCTTCTCCAAACTTCCACTAATTCTAACCAGGCTTCCCAGCCCCTGGTCACCAACTGTAACGCTGTGCAGCATCTCCTTATAGAGTGTCTCTTCTGTGCTCCTCTACTGCTCAGTTCTGACTGAACAAACCCCCCTCATCGTCTCCTCTGCATGAGAGTTCCTTGCCCCTTTGGGTCTTTCTCCCCTAGACAGCTGCCATCCATCCCTCCTAGAATCTATCCAGAATCAGACACAATATTCAACATATTAGAGTTAGAAAGGGCCTTAGAAATCATCTCTCCCTCCACTGCCTGCCCCTTCTTTGACAACCAAAATCTTAAAGGTGTCTAGTTACTTACTTCTCTTGCTCTCTGGCTTCTGACCGCGACGCTATTCTAAAACTCCTCTTTAAGATCAGGGAACTCTGAATGGAACAATCCATTTTCCTTGGCCTCTTTACAGTGTTTGACACTCACACTCCCTTAGTCCTTCCCGTGGATTTTTATGACATCGTCCCACCTAGCTCTCTTCTTGATTGGCTGGCTATTCCTTCTCAGTCTCTTTTGCTGGCTCATCCTTCATGGGTCACCTTGGATATTGCAGGATCATAGGATCACAGATTTAGGACAAGAAATCTTCAAAGCCACTGAGTCTGATTCTTTCTCCACCCACCCCTTAATGTTGCAAAGGAAACTGAGGCATGGCTTGGGAAGGACTTTAAATGTCAGAGGAGCAGGGACAATGGGGAACCACTTAAAGTTTTTGGCCAGAGTGACAAGGTCAGACGTATTATGCGAACATCAACTTGGTAACTGTATGGAGGATAGATCTAAGAGGGAAGAGAAAGGAAGAGGAGACAAATTAAAATGTTATCAAAATACTCCAATGACCTAGCTGAACAGGCTTATTTGATCTTCCCTATATTAGACATTCCACCACTCCCACCCCCACCCCTGCCCCTTTCCATGCCATTGAATTTGGATCTTCTAATCTGTTGAGATCTTTTCGGATCCTAATTTTTTTTTTTAAGGCAACTGGGGTTAAGTGACTTGCCCAGCATCACACAGCCAGTGTCTGAGGACACATTTGAACTCCTGACTCCAGGGCTGGTGCTCTATCCACTGTACCATCTAGCTGCCCCTTGGATCCTAATTTTTTTGGACAATGAATCTGAATGCTGGTTTAGGACTCTCCCTACACACTTGTATGTCTCCCTTCCCTCCCCAAACCCAATTTTCTCTAACAATCTCATTCACATGATACTAGCCTTTTCTCCTTGAAATTTCACAAGTATTTTATTTAAGTATTCATCCTGGTTATTGATTAAAAAAAAATGTTGGACAGCAAAGGACCAAGAACAGGGTCATGTGTATTCTATCAAATACCCACTTTCCGGGTAGTGATCAATGATCTCTTAATGGATCCCTCCAGTGGTGTTTTCTTAGTCCCCCTTCTGCTTACAAAAGGAAGATTCAATGGAATCCAATAAGAATTCCACTGTTACCCATTTTCCAGGTAACTCTTTGAATCCTGAGCATTTGGGAATGGGAGATTTCTATGCCTAGGATTGAGGAAAAGTGATACAAATGATACAAGATCAGAGAGAGGTCACTGAGGATAGGGAATGTGGTCAAGAGGTTCCAAAGAGGCTCGCACTCCTCTCTCTCTCTCTCTCTCTCTCTCTCTCTCTCTCTCTCTCTCTCTCTCTCTCTCCTTTCTTTCTTTTTGAAAGTCAGTTAATAAAGACTCAACAATACGCAGCTGCCAGTGATGTCATTTAGGACTTTGTCCACAGAGCTTGTATTTACAAGTACGGAACAACTACAGAACAGCAGAAGGAAGTAACTCTCAGCAAACCTGCTCTGCACATTCTGGAGAACTTGGGTGCTTTGGGTGTTCTGGGGAGCTCATTCTGCTCTGCTATAACCACAGCCTCTTAAAGTTTCACAAACAAACAGAGGATAAACTCCGGAAAATTTTTAAGCTGGTGAGAACCCCTGCAGCTCTAATATCTCCAGGACTGTGACATGTGTTGACTGCAGAACTACAAGTGACTGCTCCTTATGGACAGTGTCTGGGGAAAGACCTGCAAATGCCAGAGGACACATTCAAGAGAGCTTGTGCAATGGAGCAGGCTTTCAGATGCCAAGCTTGAGAATGAATGTGCAGACAGAGAGAAAAAACAAAACAAGACAAAACAGCCTTGAAGGATGACCCTGGAAACAGCCTGAGATTTCTTACAAATCACAAAGAAAAATAAATACCTTCATCCACGGAGGGGAAAACACATCTCGAGAAAAGGGACTTTGGAAAAAGGTTGTCTCTAGACAGCAGCCTTGTGGTTTTTCTCTCACTCAGGCTGGAAGAGTGGAAGCCTCTCATGAAACCAATCTCTATGTTCATTGTCATGGCAGATTTGGCCTGCACCATTGAGGGCCTGGACGAGTTCTCCCTGCCTTAGGGATCCTGATGGTCCTCTCCTCTCATAGGTTCACCATGCTGCTACTGGATGTACTGAACCAATCCATTTAGCTTACTGTGGATCAGAACTTCCAAACTGAAGAGATACACAAGCCTCAGCCTCCCCGGGAACAGGGATTACAGCTTTGTACTACTACTCCTAGCTCCTCCATTATAAAAATTGTGAGCTCCTTAAAGGCAGAGATGAATTTTCCCTTTCTGTGTACTGCCAGCACTTAGCACAGTGCTTGGCACATACTAAGCATGTAATAAATACTTCTTGCCTTGACCCCATGTGTGCTTTGAACTACTTGACTTCATACTCAACACAGGGCAAGTACTTAATAAATGCTTGGTGATTGACCTCAAAAAAAAAAAAGAGGCTCCAAAGAGAATTCAGGTTAGAAGTTAGATGTGTACAGTAGAAAACTATTGAGGATAAAAGAGGTATGGACAGGAAATGACACCAGGGAGGTGGTTGAGGTCACAATGCCACTATCTCAACTCCTTGGAATACAACCTATCATTCTAGAGTGTTAAGATGATCTCCAATTTATCTTGTCTCTATCCTGTTTGTACATAGTCAATGGTCTATCTTCTCCACTGGGCTGTGAGCTCCTTGAGAGCAGAGACTGAGTTGGTGTCTTATTTTGTTGTTTTTAACCATTGTATCCAATTAGCACCGGGGCCTGGCACATAAAAGGTACTTAACAAATGCTTGTCAGCTTGATTTGTTTGACTAGGGTATCCTTAAGGCCTGCTAAGTATCTAACCCAGTTACAATCATACAAACTCAATCACAGTGCTCTGTGAAGCACACACTGCAGGTGGGGAAGCCTGGGACAGCAATCAAAGCCACCTCAGGCAAACAGCAGGGTGGCTTCTGTCTGGAGAATGAGACTGTATTGTCTCCAGACCTAATTCCAACTAGCCCAGCTAAGAGAATAGTATCTACCACTGAGGGTAAAAGCAAGGCAGAATTCAGGTTTTGTCAGACCTAATTCAATCCACTTCTGATCAAAGCAGATCCTCAAAGATGCAAAGTATTGTCCATTCTACCCCCTCCTCCATAACCCAGATACCAAAGCTCAGAGGAGTCTAGCTTCTGCCTGTCCACTCCGAGGTGGGATATTTTACTGGGTGGAAGTTTCCTGTTCTCTCTGGGGGACCAGCTTGTGAAGAGTTCTGAAGGCTCAATGGAAGATCTGATAACTCACTCCTCGGTTTTAATCTGTAGTACTTTGCAGATAAAGTTGAGATGTAAATGGTCCCAGCAACATGCAATTGTAAATTGCTTTGCTGTTTCAGAAAGTCAAGATATCCAGCATTTGGTTCCCTTGCATATTGTAAATTAACTGGTAACATGATGTTTCTCTGTTTGTGCAGATACACAAAAATTCTGTGCAAAATTTGCTCAGGGAGATGGAGACCTCAGGCTCTCTCCTCGCAATCTGTCGTGTTTGTTCCTAATTACAGCTCTTTGTGCTCTCACAGCTTCTCACTTCGCAGTGCAATTAGCCCTGTGGATTATTTCCCCGTCATTTTGATGTCAGAAGCAGGATGACAATACTCAGCTGAGGACCCCACTGGTGAGTGCAGATTTTTTGGTTCTCAAATTTCAGGTGCTCCACCCCCCACTCCTGGCTCTCTCCTAAGCTGTAGTCCCTTAAGCCCTTTCTGCTCCAGGCTCTGAAGAATTGTACTGGGGCAACTGGGTAGTATTACATGTTCCCTCTATTTGGAAAAAAAATTTTTTTTAATTATAGGATGAATTCCCTCCAAATCCTCCAATCCATCTTTTTTACAAGGGACTCAAGGGCAAATTTTATGTGGGCCCCTGACACAGCAGACAAGGTGTGGGCTGTGGCCACCAAAGGAAAGCTTTTCAGCTGCCCTCTCTTTCCTCCCATCTTAGTACAAATGAGGCCCCTTACAACTGTATGTAATATATGTATATTTGTGTATGTGTGTGTATACATATATCTTATACATACTTTCTGGCAACCCCGATCTGAATTTACTGTTATCTTACTCTGGGTACACCCTACTACAGCCCCTTCTAGCTGCAGTAAGAACAGCTAGATCAGATGCCAGAGCTTCCCGGTCAAAGGGTCCTGCAGACTCAGAGCTTTTGAAAACCGTTAAGGCCCATTTCTTTCAAGGTATTGTAGTTCTGTCGTTTTTCAGTCATGTCTGATTGTGACCCCATATGGAGTTTTCTTGGTGAAGATGCTGGAGTGGTCTGTCGTTTCCCTCTCCAGCTTATTTTACGGATGAGGAAACCAAAGCAAAGACTTGCCCAGGGTCACCAAGCTGGTGTCTGAGGCCTGATTTGAACTCGGAAGATGAGTCTTCCCGACTTCAGGCCCAGCACTCTGTGCACTACGGCACCCCTAGCCGCACCCTCTCCTGCATAGTGCCCTCTTTCAGGACAGGGAGTGGACAGCATTAGACTGGTCATCTTTGACTCCAGAGCCCAAGGCATCCACATACACACTAAGTCCAGGAAAGACAAAGGTCAACCTGAGGACAGCCCGGATGCTGTGGATGACCCTGGCATCTTCAGTGTCTGACCAAGCTCTAAGGGCTCCACATCACCTGCTTCAGCTGGACCAAACTGTTCTCATCCGCCCTTTCCACTGGGGAAAGTCTTCACGTGCTTGAGACAGAAACTCCTCTAACTCGCCAGTGGGTTTGAGGACTTTCAGTGACCCTCAACCTGGTTTAGCCCGAGATGGTTTTACCTGGTGTGGCTGCTACACGTGCTATAGCTTCTTAGAGCCACAGGTGAGAGCAGGGTGAGGGGAAAAGGTGGACACCAAAGGTAGGTGAGCAGTCCTCTCACCAGGGGCTCTAGTCCTCCTTGAACACCCCATACACCATGCTGGTAGTGAAGGCAAGTGACCTAATCATTCCAGGAGATCTAACAGGACTACCCACGTCACTCCCAGAGTACTGTACCGCAATAACCAAATTCGTGAGCTCCATATTTACACAGCTCAGGGAAACATCACGAAGGTCCCATCCAAGATCTTCAACTATATTACTGGATCTTTGTCACTACAGGAGATTCTGCTCCCTAACCCTAGTGCAGGGGAAGTATTCACAAATGCTTCTCACAACACACTTGACGCCACACCTGGGGAGCAGTGGGCCTGTTGACTTTTCTACTTAACTAGATACCCTACTGCAGGGTGGGAAGTCTGCAGCCTAAAGGCCACATGTGGCATTCTAAATCCTTAAGTGCAGCCTTTTGCCTGAATCCAAATTTCACAGAATAATCCCTAGCCCTTAGGGTTATTATTCTCAGAAACATTACTATGTGTGAACAGTCTTAACTAGTGACTTTTTTAGCATTTTAAAATCTGAATGAGGAAACTGAAGCCCACAGAGTTTCAGCATTCACCCACGGTCACACAGGTAACAAGTGGCAGGTGGTGGAATTTGCACCAAAGTCTCCTGACTCCAAAGTAAGTGTTCTTTCCCTGGTACCATGTTGACTGACATCTTTGGGAAGACCACAAAACATCTTACCTCCATCACGTTCCCTTTAGAAGACAAAGGATGATTTCTGTGAGAGCTTAATAAGGAATAAAAAGGCCAATCCAACCTCTCCCTCATTCTATTTTTTTCCCCTGCTGTCAGTGGCTTTTCTAGGACAAATAAAATGATTCAGAAATTGTCGCCCTCCTCTCCCTCCTGGACCATTTACACACATTACCAAATGGACTCTCTAGGTTGCAGTGACCGCTCGGAGGCAGGAGGCCCCACTACTTAGTGTGGACGTGTCCCCAGTGTTCCTGGGAGGAATTTTAGCTGGAGAACAGGTCTGGGCACCCGCAAAACAAGACAGTGCAGCCTCAGGCAGCCCAAACCATCCCTTTATTAAGGCTTGAAGTTTCTCCAACATACAGACAGATAGACAAGAAACTATTTGTTCACACAAAAGAATTCCCAGCTCCCCTCCCACCCTTCCCACCCTCCCCTGATTTGATGCCATTTTGTTCCCTGGGAGAGTTGGCTCCTCCACATCCAGAGCCATGTGCTTATGTACTTCTGCCAAACTTGGCCCACTGGGAACTCCAGCTCTTTTCTCACTTTGGAGGAAGGGACTGGTGGGAGAGGAAGAGAGGGACTAGGAGGGGAGCTGCTTTTGGCTTCTCAGTCAACCTAAAGGGAGACTTCCACAGAAAAGATCCCTGTGGCAGAGGGATGGATCCTGGAAGGAAAGACCAGGCATGCCCACAGCTGACAAAGGTTGGACTCACAGGGTCAGACACAAGAGACCCCAGGGTGTCTGGCCTGGGGAGTGACGGGGGTAGGGGTGGGGAGGATGGCCCCAGCATTTCACCAACTCCTGTCCTGGCCACATATGGCTTGGTTATCCTATTACCACTTCCGGTGGGGCACAGACGGATGGCCCTTTGTTATACTCAGCTTCAGCATTGCCCTTGGAGACAGGCCAGCTTCAGAGCCCAACCCCACCTAGCAGACTGACCAAGAATCCTCTGGACCAAGCCACCCTGAAGGAATCCCCCTCATGCTCCTTCCCCCTCCCCCTCCTCACATCCTCCCCTGGATGGCTCTTTACTCCATGGAGCAGAGCCTTAGAGATGGACCCTCAGCACATCCTGGTTGGCAGCGGCTTTCTTGCAGCTCACGCAGTGGACGGATGGTGACTTCTGCCTCTCAGCCAAGCAGATGCGGCATATCAGGTGGCCACAGGGAAGCTGATAAGCAGGTTCACTTCTGAAGAAAGTAGTAAACACTCTGCTACAAGCGCTGCATCCAGGCCCAGAGGTGCTCCAGGGTAGTCCTGGCAAATGAGGGAGAAAAACAGGAGCCAGGATTAGGACACACACGCTCCATGCTGGTGTGCCTGGGAAGCAGTTTAAAAGAACGAGTCTCTGCAGCCATCGTGAGCGTTTATGGCAGCCCACAATTTTCTCTGCCAAGGGAAAGGCCTCGCTTGTCTGTGTCTACAGAAGGGGGCCCCAGAAGGCAGAGCCATCTGGCCCAGACCTACAGACCAGCTCAGTTTTCTTAGAGGCTGGATTGCCTGGTGCTCAACAAAGTGATGATAACTGGCTCACAGAATCTTAGGATTCAGTGGGGTAAAGGGCCTTGGGAATCCTCATTCCACAGGCTGGGAAAGGAAAGCCCAAAGAGATGAAAAAACTTGTCTCAGATCCTACAGGTAGTGAGCAACCAAATCACTGCTCCCACAAGGGCCCTCTGACTCCAAACTCAGTATTCTTTGCACCAGCCCATGTTCTTTCAGGCAGCAACTCTGAACATGAAAAAGCCAATTATATTCAAGCAAACTCTGCTCACAAAGAGCAATCTGGAAAAGTCTGTAATGTTAAAACACAAACAAACCCTTAAAAGTACAAGTAAAGGGAATAAAGAAACCTTGGCAGCTTCCAGGGGGACTCCACATAATGAAAATAGGGCTAGTGAGCAATCCGTTTAATCACAGAAGCAAAGCAGAGTAAAGGGGACTGACTACAGACCAAGCAGCCGCTGCCACAGTCCTGGGAGACGGGAAAGGCCAGTGCAGGCTGAGAGGCCTCCTGACTCAGACAGCTGGGCCATGACTTCAGGAGGCTGCTGGGCAGAGGTTTAACCCTGTCTCTATCAGGGACTTTCTATGACAGCTCAGCTTATGCCAAATCCTTTCCGCCCTTCACATTTCCTCCTTTTGGACCCAGACCGGCAATGTCTTTTTAGTGTGTTCAGGGGACAGTCATTACCATGAATTTTTCTTTGAGAATTTCAGGCCCTATGTTGAAGATAGTGGGAGATGTCACGGGGTATCCAAATTAGGATAGGCAATTTGGTCTGAAGTAGACTCTAAGCTCCTCAGAGGAAGAGCTGTAAGGGTTATCTGACTATAAGTCTAGAAAGGAAGCAAGTCTTCTCTTGTCTTTGTCCTCCATAGGACCAGGGGCACAACAAGATCTACCTCAGGGTAGAGAAAACTTGAGCCATTTACCTAGGATAATGATGGCTCACCAGTGTCCTTGGGTAGATGATCCCTTTTTTTGTGGCTTTTGGAACAGGAGCCACATTCTTGGGCTTTCTTTTAAATCACACCTATTACTAAATCTATTCACGTTCAGTGTCCCAACACCTTTCTTATACAGTGGCCTCAATTCCAGGATTTTCAGAAGCTGTGATTAGCTCTGTAAGCTAAAAAAAATTACCTTCCCTACATCCTCTAGGACTACTGAAGTTTCTCCACTAACTACAGTCCCATAACAATGTGTTTTCCAAGCTCCTAAGACCAAGCCAGGGCAAGACACATAGGCGGTTTGTTAGATACATCCCAATATGGAAATTATCTGGTGAAAAAAAGCTCTTGGCTAATGATTTAACTACTGGCAGAAGTCAGTTTCCTATACCCATTGATTCAACACAAATACTTAATACAGTACAACCTCATTAACTTGGACTCTACTAATTCAGACTGTAAGCATCTAAATATGGGCTGGGCCAAGGCCAAAGTTTTCTTTGCAGAGATGTAAAATGCTATCCATTTCCAAAAAAACTAAAGGACTCAGAGTGTAGACTGAAGCATATTTTTTTCCTTTCTTTTTCTTGCCTTCTCCCCCCCACCCTCCCCTGTATCTTGGGTTAATATGGAAATATGTTTTATGTGGCTTCGTATGCACAATGGGTATTGTATTTCTCGTCTTCTCAACAGGTAGGGAGAGAATATGGAATTGAAAATAAAAATTAAAAATAAATAAAACAGAGATATACATTTATTTAAAAAACAACATTTTCTTTGTAGGATAAAAACACGATTTCTAAACAAATTAATAGTGTCAACAAAATGCCAAGGGAAATGTTCAGCCTTGGGAACCTTTGTGAACACTTCAGAGAGGCCCCTTAAAACACAAAACCATGGTGTAAAAGTGAACATATCTGTCTTAGACATTTGGCCACAGCTAATATAAAGCCTCTTTTTAAGAGAAAAAACTTGTTTTTCTTTCAGACGAAAGATTAAGGTTATTGTCCTTGCAGGCCCCTGGAGCCTTGCTGCAAAGCCTACCTAACTTGAGCACTCACTGCATTTTCCTATCTACATGGATGAATTGGTTCTGGAAACTGCCTTCAGGTGACATTCCTACTTTAAGACTTGGATCATAAATTCATACAATCGTAGAACTCTAAGAGATCTTAGAAATCTTCCTTCCACCCACTAAAGAAGTCCCTGTACTTCATCCCCAAAAAGAGGCCATGCAGTGTCTGTCCGAATATCTCCAATGTTATCTAACGAGACAGCCCATTCACAGACTGGGCAGCTGTGCCTGGAGCTTGCTGTCACAGAGTAAAAGTTGCCTCCCTGCAGTTTTCCCTGTTGTTCCTAGCTCGGACTTTTGGGGCCAAATAGGGCCAGTCTAATCTGTCTTCTCTATGCTAGCCATGTGAATGCCTGAAGGCCCCAATTACACTCCCCCGGTTGTTGCTCCTCTAACTGCACTGGTTTAGCCTTTGCTGTTTTTTTTTCAACATGTGGTAGTGTCCCTGTGGACTTGCACGGTCAAATTTGCCCTCATTTCTGGAATCCTCTCAAATGCCCCATAGCTTCACCATGGACCATGTCAATGACTTGTGGGGAAGGCAGAGTAAAAGGAGATGCCTCCCCTTCCACACATGGACAGCTAAGTCAGCACTGAGCTGACTGTCATCTACAAAAAGTCAGAATTTCCTGGGTCTATAAAGTCTTGTGACCTAATTTTTCATTCAAACAAAGTGACGCATAAAGACCAAGAAATATGTTCACGGCCACAGGGACACCAGGGGTCGGGGAAGGAGCCAGCAATTCGGAGCTTTAAGGCTTGGGTGACAGGTAGGGAGGAGCCCTTCCTAGACTGAGGCCCAACAAAGCAGCCCCAGGGGAAACCCAATTCTACAGGCCAACTTCTGCCAGTCTCTTTGCTTGGAAACCGAACTCTCCCCCTAAATCTCACAGACTTTTTCTATTTGCAGGTGTCTAAGACTCAAGCAAAGAGGCCAAAGGCTCAGAGAGACAGCCTGACAATTTGCCAGCAGGAGAAACATTTGCCAGAACCTAGCAGGACGCTATCCAACCTGAATGGTCAAGGCATCAGACACGGCCAAAATCAATATACGTACAGCCTCTAGTTCTAAAGAAAAACAGTAACTCAGAGCAGTGAAGAGACCTTTCTCTGAAGATCCAAGTTGCTTTAGGGAATGTCCTTCACTCTGCCTAGGAGGCACAGTGACAAGTGTCCTCTCGAGTTTCCAGGCACAGAGGTAGAGGCTGGGCAGATAAGGCCTGAGTCAGGGGGCTCAGGAGGTTCCAGGGGCAGGGGTTCGGCAGGAAATGGGTCGGGCTTACATTACCAGAGCTAATGCTTGAACTCCAGGAGCTGCTGCTGCTGGTGCTCCCCGAACTGAGATGCTGAGGCTGAGCCTTGGTCAGGCGGCCTGTGAAGGATGGCAGAGTGCTGAGGGCCGAAGTCAAGGCAACATCCAAGCTTTCTGATAACCTCTGCTCATGAGAAGTAGTACCTGCTGAGAGAAACAGAGAGGGCTATATTTAGGGAGAGATGGATGGATGGATGGCCAAGAAAAAGAGAAAGGCCTAAGCAGGACGGTGGGATCTGGGAAGGCTGTGAACAAAGGCAGGAAAATCAAGAAGGACGCGACAGCTACACTTTGGGGAAAGATCCTCTTCTAGAAAAGTAGGAGGCATGAATGGGCACGGGTAAACATCAGAAGAGCAAAATTCAAAGGGAAGGTCTGCCTGCATACTCAGGATGGACAACAAGTTTACTGCACATAACCTCACAGCAAACCACAAAAGCATTTTTATCTATCTAATTCAATGCACACTTCCTGAACACCTACAGCATACAAGGCCTTGTGTTCAGTGCTGAGGAAATTCAGTGTTCAGCTCTAGATTCAAGAAGCCCCTAGTCCAGACAGGGAGGTTCAACTGTATGCAAGGAACTTGATTACAAGGTTGGTACATCACAGAGGTACTGGGTTTTTTCACAGACCTAAAGATGGAGAAGTTCCATTTGCACAGAAAGAGAGAGACACAGGGACAGCCTACAGGAGAAGATACTGGAGTGGGGCCATGAAGAATGGGTAAAATTTTAGCAGAGAGAGATAAGGGTGGAGAAAGGGGCATTCTAGACATGGAGCACAGTCTGACCAAATGCAAAGAGGCAGAATAAGACAGGATGTCATCAGAGCAGAGCTGTCCAGTCTGGCAGGACCACCGAAGGAGTGTTATTAATAAGGCTGGAAGTGTCAAAAAGGTGAGAAAGGATGTGAGGGGTGCTAAGGACATTAGACTATCCTGTAGATAACAGGCAGCCACGGCATGTTTCTGGGAAAGGGATTAGACTGATTCTACTTGGCTCCAGACAGGAATGGGAACAAGAAGTGCCATAAAGAGGCAAACCTGGGCTTGCTATAAACAAAAACCTTACAATGAGACCTAGACAAAAGCATGACAGGCTGCCTTTGGAGGCAGGAAACTAGCCTTCACTGGGCAGGAGGGGGATGCAAAGGCTGGAGAAACACTTGGTAAGGTCCCTTACAACTCAGATTCCACAAATTCTGAAAACGCAAAATGCCACTTTGCTATTTTTATAGGAAAGGGAACTCCAGGCTCTGAGGAGAGATGCTTTTTCTCTAGAGGTAATCAACCTGCACTATCAAATATAAAAGTAGCCCACCCATCAGTACTAGCCACTGACATATCCAAGGGCTTACTTTAACAATCCCTCCTTGCCAAGGCAAACCCCTCCACCAGCACAAGTGACTCATCCCTGCCATATTCTGGATCCAGGACACTGCTTCCTCCCATTCCCACTCTTTCACTAATCTCCACTCTCCCTGTGTCTGCTTCCTACAAACAAACTCCATCTCTCCCATACTCACCTGATCCATCCATCCTCACTTGCTATCAGCCTGTATCTCTCTCCCTTTGGTGGCTAAGCTCCTTCAGAAAGTGGCCAACAAAGGGCACCTCCTTTTCTTAACTCTCTGTAGTCTGGCTTCCAACCTCATCATTCAACTGAAACTGCTCTCTCCCCAAAGCTACTACTGGTCTATTAAGTGCCTCCTCTCACTCATCTTGCTGCCCTCTCTACAGCCTCTTAAATGGTCAATCACCTACTTCTCTCACAATGCTCATTCCCCCTGGTTCTCCTCCGACCTGTCTGATTGCTTCTTCTCATTCTCTTTTGCTGGATCTTTCTTCCAGGTCATCCCTGAAGACTCTGTCCTGGGCCCCTTTCTTCTCCCCTCTTTTACCAATATTTATTTAGCCCTAGCCTCTCTCCTGACCTCCAGTTTGGCATCTAACCTGGCCACTGGACATCTCCAAGTGGATACCCCACAGATATCTTAAATTCAACATATCCCAAACTGCACTTAATATTTTTCCCCCAAAACCCTTTCCTATTCCTAAATTCCCTAGAATTGTTGAGGACACCACTACCCTCCGCCATCCAGGTTCACAACCCAAACATCACCCTCACCTCCTCACTTTCTCTTACCTCCCACATCTAATCAGGTCCAAGTCCTGCCGATTCTACCTCCTCACATGTCTTCTCCACCCTGTTCTGCCTCTGATACTTCCTCCATCCTGGGTCGGCTCTTTATCCCCACAGACCTGGGCTAGTCTAACAGCCTGCTGGTCAATCTCCTCGACTAAAGTTTCTCCCCACTGCAGTCCATTCTACTCAGCTGTCAAACTGATCCCCCTAAAGTATAGATCTGATCATGTCATTCCCCATTCAATAAACACCAGTGGCTCTTTATTATCTCCTGTATCAAACAGAAAATCTTCTGTTTGGATCAAATGAGATATTTGTAAAATGTTTAGCATAGATCCTGGCACACAGTAGGTGCTTAATATATTTACGAGGCAGCTACATGGTACAAAGAATAAAGCACTGGACCTGGAAAGACCAGAGTTCAAACCTGGCCTCAGATACTAGCTGTGTGACCTTAAACAAATCATTTAATTCCTCAACTGTAAAATGGGATGATAGTTGGGCTGAAAACCCCCGCTTTCCCAGATGCATCTGTATAGCGGGTTTATGGTTCACAGAACACTCTTCATCTCACAACTTTATAAGGTAGGAAGGGCAAGTAATAGCTCCATTTTACAGCAAAGGAAACTAAAGTTTCTCAAAGAAGTTCAATATCAGGAAGACAGTCGCTGAGTCACACAAAGGGAATCAACCTCTGCACATCACTCCAAGCTCTATTACTGATCTCTTGCAGAACCCTAGGCAAATCACTTCAATCCCGTGGGCACATCTCTTCACCTGTACAAGAAGGCTGGACTAAGATGATCTCTAAGATCCACTCCCTTGACTTGCAATGCCCTCTTCCCGCATCACTGCTGAAATTACATTCCCCTAGAAATGTACCTTCCTCCCTTCTCTGAAGAGATGGAATAGGAAGGGTGGCTGATATACAGAGTGGTTTTGCTGAACTGCTTTCTTTTTTATTCTTTGTTACAAGGGATGACTCAGTGGGTAGGTAAGAGAGGAAGGAGACATTAACAAAAGGTACTGATAAAAGGATGTATGTGTGTGTGCACGCGCACGCTCGCACACATGCATGTGCATACGCAGGTGCACATACTTTTTTAAAGGAAAAGAAATAAATGCTCTTCTCCTGTCAAAGCCCAACACAAGTGTCACTTTCTCCATGGAACCAAAAAATCTTCTCTTTGTCCCTCTCTTTTAATGGTACATTCATACTCTAATCTACTTTTATGTATGTGTGTGTGTGTGTGTGTGTGTGTGTATATATATATATATGTACATACACATGCACACACATATATACATGTACATACACATACACACACACACACACATATATATATACACACCACACACACACACACACACACACACACACACACACACACACATCCTGCTTCTCCTGTGGGCTCCTTGATGGCAGGGACAGGTTTTACTTATCTATTTCTCTCCCTGCCTTACAAACAAGACATGCTTAATAAATATTTCTTGAGTTGAATAGAATTCTTCTGTAGACTCCAAGTTCCAGAAAAATGACTAAACCTTGGGACTCAGTACCCAAATCAGTACGGAACTTATTAACCCAAGAACACAAATGCTGCATAAATGGATGGCAGCCCAGTCTTATGGCAGAAGCCACCCCTACTTACAGAACAGGGAATTAGTGCAGTAAAACTACCTGATGAGCAATCCATATGTGTCAGACTTGGCTCGGCGTTGAGTTTCATTTTCTTAGTGTTGTTCTCCGAGGTAGAAGATGTGAATCGTGGGTCTGTGGTAAAAAAATAGGGAGGCGGCTGAACACGAGGGAGGTCTGGGGGATTTGGCAAGGGCGCCACAAATTCCCCCTTTCTCTTGCGAGAAGCCACGGAAGAGGGAACTGCTACCCCAGGAGCCTGGGCTCTTCCAACAAGGTTGCAGCCAGGAACAGTGTGCTGTAGCAGGAAACAGTCTATCCTGGCCTTCAGAGAAGTATGGGGCTGTGGCTGGGAGGTCGGTGTGAAGGCCACCCCTGTAAAGGGGTCACTGGGGACTCGGCCCCAAACTGCTTCACTCCTGTTACATTTCTCCAGGGTGCTCTGGTCAATGACCTTGCCAGAGGGGAGCAGCATGGGGAAGGGCATGATCTCTAGAGTGATTGGATCCAGGAATTCCTCCGGCACATCATCGATCGGGTCTGTCAGTTCCTGAGGTCCTGGTGGCCGCTGGCCTTGACCACGGGACTCGTTGTCATTCTCCATTGGCAATGTCGAGTTGGGGGGGGAGGCTGTGGGAGTCAAGCCTCGAGGAGGGTTCTGGGAGGCTAACTGCATGACGTTCTCTATGACCTCTTGGGAGCAGCTTTTGGCTGGCTGGCCCCAGACTTCCACCTTCTTAATGCAAGTGATCCCATTGCCAGCGATTTGTGTGATCGAGATCTTTAAATTGGACACATAACCAAGAGAGAAGGGGCCTTTACTCCAGAGGTCCTGAGTGACAGTTCCATTAGGAGTGAGGTTACTTTCCAAAAGATGGAAAGGTGCCCTGGCCTTGAAGCCCTTGTGAGTGAATGTCGCTCGCCCCTGGTTTTTCAACAAGACTCTCCCTACCAAGGTGAAAACCTCTTTTTCAGGGTTAGTCGGCTCCAAGACTGAGGGCTCAGACTCCATGGTGCTCCAATAGGTTTTACCTGATGAGGTAGACGTGAACACTTCCAGACCAACGATATTTTGGACTCCCCCTGAAGTGAGGTCCACATTAATCTTGCTGAGTTCCACATTAAAGGGAAAGGACACAGTCACATGGATCGGTGGTTTAATGAAATACTCAGTGCGGAAGCCACGGTTTCTCTTCACAAGGTCTTCAGAGATGAGATTTTCTACTTCATAGCCATCTGCTGAGATCTGGGTTTAATAACAAACAGGAAACATGCTGGTTTGAGCTGACCCAAGGAAGGCAGGCTGGATTTTAAGAAATTACCATTTTAAAGAAAAACTGTTTTAAGATAGCCTGTGAGGTTGTGGCATAGAATTCATAATTCATAAAGCTTGGCTCTCCCTTACTCAGACACAAGGTAGACTTGTGAAGGCAGAGCTGTCATGAGTAAGCAGGAGCCCAGAGAGTATCTGTCTAGGTTTAATAACATCATCTCAAAGGGGCAGGTTGGTGGCGCACTAGATAGAACTCCGGCCTTAAAGTTTAGGAGGCCCTGAGTTCAAATCCAGCCTCAGACATGACATGTACTAGCTGTGTGACCCTGGGCAAGTCACTTAACCCCAACTGCCTCACCAAAAACACAAAAACAAGAACAAAAACAAAACATCTCAGACCCTGTAACAATGTAATCCTTCATAGCTCAAGGGGCACTAACTCCAAATTATAATTAAATGTCACTGGGAGGTTACCCAGAGATGCATGGGTGTCTTACTCTTGGAAAATGTCAAGGTACACAGCTTTGGGGAAAATGGACCTTCCCTGAACTTCCCCTATTTGTATCTCGGTCCTACCAACTATGACACTTGCCTTAGATAAGCATCCCAGACACATCCTAAAATTAATATGTGGAGTAAGAGAGGTATGTTTGCTAACTATCCAGGAGTCAGCCATGCTCAATGCTTTTCCACAAAGTTCACTGAATCAATTTTGAAGGAAATGGGAGCGTGGAGGTCAGGAACTATAAACTAGACAGAAATAGCAATCATAGCACATTTTTTTTTTTACCTTGTTGCAGTGAATTCTTGGTTTGAACTGCGGGAGGCAAAGGTTTATTACCATCTTGGCAGATGAAAGGGCAGCGTCCAATCATCAGAAGTAGCCTTCAAGGAAAAACAAAACCCAGGATTACTGAGAAGGAGCAGCTCAGTGATGGACTTTTTGAATTTATCTTAACAGCTCATATGAAAATTCCAAGAACAGGACTACACACAGAAACTTTGAACACTCACATCCTCTCTCTCTAGGTCCTATATGATGCTTAAAACATTGGCTTCTTGTAAATTACCACAAAGGAACTTTCCTAAGCTAGACAGCTTAAGAGCACTCTGGTTTTTTTCTCTCCCAATGAGCTCCATAATTTTCTCTAGCTCTCTTCCCTTCCGCTTTCTTAACAGCATTAAAACTGAAAAGAGTGTTTCATTGTCATACCTCTCAGGCAGGAATTTTCAAATATTCCCATTTTTAAAATCCCTTCAGTTGGGGAATAGATAAACAAATTGGGGTATATGAAAGTACTAGAATAACCCTACACCCTAGAAAAAATTCAGAGAAAAATGAAAAGATTTATACAAATTGATACAAAATAAAGAAAAATCTGGAACTAAACTAATGAAGATGGAAAGAACTAGTGAAGATGGAAAGAACAATAATAACGAGTCTGAGGACTACAGGCGTAAAATTAACCTGGGTAAAGGTTTTTGGCAGAAAGATCCATCTTCTGTATACACGTAGGATGAAAGGAAGAAAGAAAGAATCCATCAACAAGTCAGCAGCTGGTTTTAGGAACATGTTCCTTTCATAACAGCCCAGCTGGACCCTAGTCAAAGAGCAGAAGGATGGGCTGACCCATTCAATTCAATCCAATTCAAAAAACATTTTTAAAGCACCAACTCCACGCAAAGTTCTATGTGAGATATTGGGGATGCAGAAGCAAAATGAAAAACTGATATCGTTGGGAGAACTGAACATTTTCACAGATAGTGTAAGTATAACTTGAGAAAGGAGAGAGCATTCACAACTAGGGGCAAGGCATCTTTTAAGAGGCAGCACATGAAGCTCCCCTGGATTCTAAGAGAAGGCAGCACATTGCATCCATACAGGACAGCACACTCAAAGGCACAGAGGGGGGTAGATGGGTGCCAAGTCAGTTAGTTTGATTAACCTCTGAAAGGCCAGAAAATATCATCCCAGGAAAAACCCTGGAATAGCTGAACCAGAAGAAAGATGGGGTACAGCAGTCCACCAGTAGCCCAGGTAACTTGAGGGGTTAACGGGAAAGGCTCCTCTTGCCCTGGGGTAAGGGGTTAAGAAAGCAGAAGGGAAGAGAGCTAGAGAAAATTATAGAGCTCATTGGGAGAGTACTGAATGGGAGGCATCCCAGCAAGCTAGCAGAAAGCCCCACCTCAGCATACCAGGAGGAGATCCTGAACCCGAGGTGGTGGAGCAGGCAAACACCAACACCTGGACCTCCGAGTGCCTCAGTGAGGGAGGGGGAACCAGTGGAAATCAGCTCAGAAAACCACCAGGTGCTTTGGCAACCGGGTCTCCCAGTGCCTCAGCAAAACTCTGGGAAGTGCTCCAGGGGTCCCAAGCAGATAAATATCCTGCAACATCCATCTGAAAGGAGCTGAAGAAAGTGAAAGGAAGCAAAGGCCCAGGTGAGCAGGAAATCTCCAGGAGCCACACTACCCAATCCCACCCCCAGAGTTCCAGTGTTACTGATTCCAGCCCAACACCAGGTAAGCTGCCAGAACCCTACAGCCACCAACTGCCAACACTGGAGGCCCCAGCACACAAAGCCAGTGACCACACCCTAGGCTTCCAACACAAGAAGCTTGGGTCAGTGCCCTCTGCTCCCCAGCAGGAGAGCTCAATCTCTTTAGAGGCCAGGAAATAAGCAAACACCAGGAGCAAAAAGAAACATACAACAGATTCTTATTATGGGAACAATGAAGATCAAGGCAGAAATTCTGAAGAGGAGAACACTGTAAACAAGCCCACATCTGGAATCTCAAAAGGGAATATGAACTGGTCTGAAGCCCAAAAAGCCTTCTTGGAAGAGGCTCAAGAAGGATTTTAAAAGTGAAATGAGAGAAGTAAAAGAAAAATTGGGAAAAGAAATGGTATGCAAGAGAGAGTCAATAGCTTGGAAAAGGAAGGACAAAAATTAACTGTAGAAAACAAGTCCTTAAAAAAATACAATTGGCCAACTGGAAAAAAAGTACACTGAAGAAAACAAGTCCCTAAAAAATACAATCAGCCAAATGGTGAAGGAGGTACAAAATCTAATAGAAGAAAACAAACTGTTAAAAATTAAAATTGGACAAATGGAAGCTAATGACTTTATGAGACAGTGAGAATCAAAGAGAAGAAAAAGAATGAAAAAATAGATGAAAATGTAAAATACCTCACTGGTAAAACAACTGACCTGGAAAATTGATTCAGGAGAGAAAACTTAAAAATTATTGGTCTACCTAAAAAGCACGATGAAAAATGGAGCCTGGACAATATCTTTCAGGAAATCATAAAGAAAAACTGCCCTGAGGTCCTAGAACCAGAGGGAAAAATAGCCATAGAAAGAACCCACCAATCACCTCCTGAAAGAGATCCCAAATTGAAAAAGCCAAGGAATTTAGTAGCCAAATTCCAAAATCACCAGGTCAAAGATAAAATACTGCAAGCAGCCAGAAAGAAACAATTTAAATATCATGGAACCACAGTCAGGATTACACAGGACCTTGCAGCTTCTACATTAAAAGACCATATGGCGTGGAATATAACATTCCGTAAGGCAAGGGAGCTTAGATTACAACCAAGGATCAACTGCCCAGAGAAAATGAGCATGACCTTTTAGGGGAGGAGATGGATATTCAACTTAACAGGGGACTTCCAAGCCTTCCTGATAAAAAACCAGATCTTCAAATACAAGACTCAAGAGAGACATACGCAGGCCATAGAGAAACAACATCATGTTATTAATAACGGCAAACTGTTTACATCCCTACAAGGGAAAATGACACTTGTAACTCTCGAGAACTGTGTTGTTATTACACCACGTTAAAGGGGTATACATAGAGCGGGGGGGGGAGGGGGTATAAGTTGCCTTTGATGTAGTGATAAAAAAAATCAAATATATCTGGAGAATAAAATTAAAGGATGAGAGAGGAGTATACTAGGAGAAAAGGAAAGGGAAAGGTAGAACGGGGTAAATTATCTCACAAAAAAAAGCAGAAAAAGAAAAGGCTCTTTTAGGGGAGGGGAAACAGGGAAAGGAGAGAGGGAATGAGTGAATCTTATTCTCATCAGATTTGGTTTAAGGAGGGAATAATATATACATTCAAATGGGTATAGAAATCTGTCTTACCCTATAGGAAAATAGGGGGAGAAGGGGACAAGAGAGCAGGGGGATGATAGAGAGGAGGGAAGATTGGGAAAAGGGGTAATCAGAAGCAAATACCTCTGAGGAGGGACAGGGTCAAAAGAAAGAATAGAATAAATGCAGGGGAGGGGCAGGATAGGATTAAGGGAAATAGAGTTAGTTTTTCACAACATGTCTACTATGGAAGTGTTTTGCATAACTGCACATGTATAACCTATATTGAGTTGCTTACCTTTTCAATGAGGGTGGGTGGGAAGAGAAGAAGGGAGAAAATTTGGAACCCAAAGTTTTAAAAACATGTTTAAAAAAATGTTTTCACATGCAACTGGGAAATAAGAAATACAGGAAATGGTGTACAGAAGTCTATCCTGCCCTACAGAAAAATAGAAGGGGAAGGGGATAAGAGAAGGGGGGGAAGAGATAGAAGAGAGAGCAGACTAGGGGAAGGGGTATTCAGAATGCATGCCATCTTGGGGTGGGGGAAGGGACAAGATGAGGAGAAACTTTGGAACTCAAAAACTTTGGAACTCAAAATCTTGTGGAAGTAAATGTTGAAAACTAAAAATAAATAAATAAATAAATTTGTATAAAAAAAAAAAGGAAACCTCTAGAGTTAGGAAGCTTACTACCTCATAAGGCAGTCAAATCTGTGGCTGCAATTGGTCTTCCCATCATTAAAGAATATCTCCCTTCAGTTAGAAAAAAAATCAAATCAAGTGGGTTAAATGGATCCAAGTAAGTGGATTAATCTGATCTAAGAAAATATACTGAGAGAAAAGGAAAAGAGGAGGCAGACAAGAGTAAATTACATTACAGGAATAGGCATAAAAACCTGTTACAGTAGAGGGAAAGAAGGGAGGAGATAAGCATTGTTTGAACCTTACCTTCATCAGATTTGGCTCAAGAAGGGAATAACATTATCAATTAGGTATAGGAGTCTAACTTGCCCTATAGGCAGTAGGAGGGAAAAGGGGAAAGAAAAGGGAAGGGAGACAGAAGGGAGGGAAGAAGTAGTAAGGGTAAAGGGGAAGGAAAGGGAGGGGGATAACAGAAGGGAGGCAGGACTGAGGGAGGCAGTGGTCAAAAGCAAAACACTAGTGAGGAGGGAAAGGGAGAAAGGAGAAAGAAAAGCATTAACGGGGGGGGGAAAAGGATAGAAAGAAAGACAGATTAAAGATCAGTGAAGAAGCACCACAGGAGTTCAGGTGAGAGAGGATGAAGGCCTAAGCTAGGGTAGCATCTGTGTGAGTTCAGTGGAAGAGACAGACGGGAGAGATAACAGCATGAAAAAGCATTTGGGAAACACTTTGTGTCAATGCTGGAGATACGTTCAGAAAACGAAGACAGAAGCTCATGTTAACACAGGGAAGTGACATAGATAAAAGGGCTCAGTTGCTGAGCAGGTATAAAGACCCAATGGTAATGCCTCTTATTTTGTATCATTTCTATGGTTACAATCATATCTATTTGCGATGCTGACCACAAGACAATGCTAAAGACGCCTTCTCATGGGTCTTCAGGAGCTTTGGCCGATTAGACGGGGGAGTTAGTGGTTGGGTCAGTTCCCTCAAGGTTGCTTTCTTCAGATGATGGCTGCAGGGGTTAGGCTGGAAATCCAGACGCCAGCAGAGGAATGGTGGGGAGGAGGGGTGACCATTCCGAGGGTTTGTGGAAGCTGAATCCTAGTTCCTCCAGGATCCAAAGGAAGCACAGGTGCCGGTC